CTACCGGGGATCAAAGTCGGGACCTCCTAATTTAGTGCCCACATTGCAATCCGTTGGGCTACATCATCATCATATCAGATGGAAGACGTCCACGGCTGAACATAGTCCTCCTCCGAGATTAGCCCCTTCGACGCGACGTGCAGGTTACCCGCCGCCCTTACCAGGTCATCCGTCGATCTAGTTGGGAGCCGTCTCACTGAACGAGAACCTTTCTGCTTCAAAGGCCGTTAGTTCTACGAGCTATGTGCCCTACCCACTGCCACTTCAACTTGCTAATATCAAAGGATTGACGCCTGACCTTGACTGCCGTGGCCCAACGTCGGTCGATCTTTGTCAATTAAACAAATCAATAGCGAAGATATAAAATAAAAAAACGACCACAAAAGACATCATCATCATCCCCTAGTTTGCCATTCTTAGAGGTGGATTATTTTCTTCAAATTTAAACCCTTATTTAGGACCACTACGGAGGGGTACGTCTTTCCAACAAAAAACGAATCATCAAAATCCGTTCAAAAATACCGGATTAATCGCGTAACATGCATACAAAAAAAGCAGTCGAATTGCGAATCTCCTCCTTTTGTGAAGTCGGTTAAAAAAGAGCTACTACCGCTATTACTTACTTTTTTTTATTATAATTTAGAAAATATTAATTATGTCTTGCATAATACTATAATTTAAAAAGGTCGATTGCGGAAGAGTTAAAGGAAGCGGGAACATTGTTTCCTGCAACACAGCCTTGTAGGTACAAACAGTTACAAAAGAGGCGGTTTTTCTCTACATATTGAACCTAATATGGCTGCGGTCAGCGTTGCTAGATAACAGTTTAAATTCTAAATATATGATCAGTACACGTGGAGAAATAACAAATATAGATAATTATAAGTTTCCTTATAAAAAAAACCCGACTTCATAAGTTCGTGCAACTATACATTTGCCAAGTTTTGTTGAAATCGGTTACCACCCTTAGAGGTTGAATATTTTCAAATTTAAATGAGACCAATACTGAAGTATCTTCGTTACAACAAAAAAAAATCAACAAAATCAGTTCACAAAACAAAAACGGTCGAATGAAAACCTCCTAATTTTTAATATTTTGCTGCAACAATTTTCTAAAGAATGCAATACTAAATGAATGCAAATAACAAACGTTTGTAAAGAAAAGTGAAACTTAATTCAAGTGCCGATTTTTTGTTATTACCAAACGGCGTGGGTGAACAAGTCGTGCCCTCATGCGTAAGGTGGTAAGTGACCTATTTAAATTGGATATATTTAGATTGGAAATTTAGATTTTGGAGGCACTGTCACTGTACCCGTCACCTTGATACAAAGTTTTTCAATGTTACAGCAGTAGAGCTCGTCCAGGGAAGCACCGGGATTATGTCAGCCGCCAAACTGTAATGTGAGCATTATAAATTACACGCACATGGGTCTTGTCAACTTAGGGTCGAAACACAAAACTGCGAATAGGCGCGATACGAATTTGCAACACAGAAAACTGCGACGCCGGTTGCTGCGATGCGATTACGTGCAGCAAGGCGTCTCACTGCCACGGTTCGGTTGACCATTCCTTCTACTTTCGTCAAACGTACTGAACGTACTCTTCAAACACTGCTGTTATTCATAAGAAAATATTTCAGCTTGTGGAGGTGCTGCTGGTGCTGGGGGCGTTCTGGTGGATTGTAAAGGTGTGTAGCCTGGATAGCAGTAATAGCCTCCGCAGCCTCGCAGCCTCCAACATCTTATATAGTAAATTTCGCAATTCAAACGTTGAAAGTCCAGTTTATAGATATTTAATCGGTTTTAACAAATAAAATGTTTAAAATGTAAACTGTATAAATATAGCTAGTAAACGATTCAAAAAGGTAAATAATGGTATGTTCGCTACCGCGGTCGCGCAGAAAGTGACGATGGAAAGAAACAAAATCAGAATGCGAGGTAAAATGGAACAATTTTAAATTTAAATATGAGTAGAAGAAGAAAAAACGATACGATACGAATGGAGAGAGGCGATACAAAAAGGTGGGATGACGGTATAAGGAGGTCACACCGTCACAAGCTATTCGCAAATTCTAACGATGCGTTGTGCGAGCTCGTAGATTTCTGCGATGTGGCGCCCCACCGCAGTTTTGTGTTTCGACCCTTATATCTCATGGTGACAGGCGCAGAGGCAGTGCCCCTTAGATGTTTGCGATCTAAAGTTCTGAGTGGTACTGTAGCTGCTATGGACTGGCACACGATAGCTCGTTTTCCAGAACTCTACTCAATGCTCGAGTCAGGACTTGAATATGATTTAAAGCACTAGAAATCATACTCAAGTCCTTGCCATTAGGGTCGTATTTCCAGTGCTTGAAATCATACTCAAGTCCTGACTTAATAATTCACGCACACACTCAACATAGCACCTCACTAGGGAAACCCTGTGTCGAGGGTGCCATAGACACACACATAGACAACCACAAATTACACCCAAACTCATGAGAGAAATAATACAACTAGTAGTAGGCCATACAAATATTTCTCCCGACCCTGGAATTGAACCTGGGACCTCTGCGTGGCAGTCTGGCATAATAACAGTTCGGCCACGCAGGCAGTTTGATCATTGAGTGGAGTTTTTCCTATGTTTTGCTCAGAAACAGGCGCTGGGTATCATAAAAAAACACTTTGAAGAAAAACTTAGCTGCGCCCC